TTTTTAATCTTTTCAATTAATTTTAATACTGAGAAGTGAAATCCCAGTGATAGGTTCAATTCATATAAAACCCCATGTCAATTTTAATGGTTTCTCTTTCTCCATAAAAGTATTTTATTTGAATTCTTTCGTGCAGATCAATTGCTTCAAATAATTTCTCTGGAACACTCCCACCAGAACTTGGTAATTTAGTCAAACTTAAACAACTGTGAGTTATAGCTTTCTTCTAATTCTTTGTAGCTCAATAAGTTTGTGCAATAAGAAGCATATGACCAGAGACTAAACAGTTTTGGTTTATGAATGTGCAGTTACATTAGCAGCTGTGGAGTTGGTGGTGAAATTCCCTCAACATTTGCTAACCTTGTAAACATGCGACTCATGTAAGAAAGTCCCTGGGATCTTAAGCTGTATTTATTTGTCTGCTTATGTTTCTGGAGCATCTCAAAATTGTCTTCTCTTACTCTGTCATTAACAGAGAGCTTTTTGGATTTTAGGTGGGCATCAGACAATCCTTTCACAGGCAAGATACCCGGTTTCATTGGCAACTGGACAAACCTTACATCATTGTAAGTTACAAATACTTATTCTATTTTGAAAGACATCCCCTTTTTATTAGTTTTGCTTCATTTCTTCAACAGTGAGATATATCTAGTTTGTTCTTTCTTAATTAGCCTGCGAAATATTTCTGTAGGAGATTTGAAGGGAACTCCTTTGAAGGTCCTATACCACCCAGTTTTTCTAAATTAACCTCTCTAAATTCTCTGTAAGTAATTATTCACTTACCGTTTACCCTCTCTGCATGCATGATTCTGAAAGTATGTATAATGGCCAACTTCTTCAATTCTTATGTATAATCATGCAGGCGAATCAATGGTTTATCCAATGTGAGCTCTTCTCTTGATTTTATTAGAAATTTAAAGAATTTAACTGACTTGTAAGTAAAAACTCTTTAATCATGTATAGAAACTTTTTTTTTTTGTTTTATTAGTTAATTGACTAACAAACTTTACTCTTTTCCTTTGTTCTTTATTTTCCTGTAGAATTTTAAGAAATGCACTAATTACTGGTAGTATTCCATCTGATATTGGAGAACTCCAATCTTTACAAAATCTGTAAGATATGTTCACACTCTGCCTGATGAATATGTTGTATATTGAATTTGCTTCCATTTCCTATATTAATTTAATTCCTCTTTCTTTACCAGGGATTTGAGTTTCAATAACTTGACAGGCCAAATTCCAAGTGCTTTGTTCACCATAAGTTCTCTTACATACTTGTAAAGTCATAGAAGATGCCTCAAAATCTTAATTTATGTCAATTTCGTCCTTAGTTTTTGTGGTCAACCTAATGCCATTAACCTGATGGTATTAACCATCAAAAGAAAAACTATTGACTGTATTATGTACTGTCAATGTCCAGGTTTCTTGGAAATAATAGTCTGTCTGGTACCATCCCTAGCCAAAAGAGTGAAAACCTAATGAATATGTAAGCCATACCATTCTGAGCATTCTCTTTATTTGAATAACTTCTACTAACTTTCTGCTGTTGTACTTTGACTACTTTCTCCTGCAGATATTTATCTTACAATTTTCTGTCTGGAATCTTTCCCCCATGGGTGAACACAATCTCACAACTGTATGTAACTTGAGCTTATTTTTCTTTTAATTGATGTCACATTATTAATGCAATAGGAATGAAAGAAAAAAGTTCAAGATCTAGCCCAACCATCTCCATTAAATTCTTGTCAGAGCCAGTGACCTATTTTTATTCTCATTTTGGTACCTAACCTGCGCTGATGGCCTAAATTCCAATGCTCAACTAAAAGTCCTCTGGAAGTCTTTTTGGTTATCAAGAACCACAATAGTAATGTAACACACCTATGTATATCATTTCTAGAAAGAGTATCTGTCACTTTAAATTCATGGATGTTGGATTGTTACAGCTGGTCTGACAGAGGTTCATTTGTGTTGTTGTTTTGTATCATGTAGGAATCTAGTAGCCAACAACTTCACATTTGACAGTTCAAACATAAGGTGAGTTGTAGCTCTTAAGTGTAGTTTTACTCTTCTATCCACCTTAATATAAAGGCATAAGAAAATTGGTTGCAATTTTTTCCACAATGGAAGGCATTCTTTTGTAATTTATAACCCTAATAAAACATAACTATTTTATTTATTTTTAGTCCTTTTCCAGGATTGCATTGCCTTCAAAGAAGCTTCCAATGCAACAGGAACTCTCCACGCTGTAAGCTTCTTTTGCTAGTGTTCAATTCCTTTCAAAGCACTCTTTATCTACTGCATTGCATTGAGATAGCATATACTTGGCAGTACACTCTAATCACAGAAAGAAACTTCAAGTTGAGGGGAAAAGGCATAGACAATTGCATATAAGAGTGTTTTTAGACTCTCAGTGGCAAATTATCCATTTCTACTTTCCTAGCATCAATAATTCTGAGCTTGGCCAATTGCAACATGCATGCATCAATGGCAATTTTAAAAAGATATTAACTTCGTCCTCTGCTGGAACTTTAAAGGAGTCAAAATTTACTTGCTGTTTTTAATCTGTTATAAAATGACGACTTCAGTAACCTACTGGGTATGAATATCTGTAGCTGGAATTTTAATTATTGTTCTTGAGTAACTTGCCAAGCATATTTAAATATTGAAGTTGGCAGATTCAAATTTCTCAATCAAGTGTGGTGGCCCAGAGGTGACAGTTGATCGAATAAAATATGAGGCCGACAACTCCTCCCTTGGCACAGCATCGTTTTATGTAATTGATTCTGATAAACTGGGAGTTAGCAATGTGGGTTTGTTTTCCGACAGAAGTAGTCAAACCTATGTGCAAAACGCCGTGGAACAAGTGATACACACCGGCTCGCCGGAGCTTTTTAAGACCTCGAGGATATCCCCTGGATCACTCAGATACTATGGCTTAGGCCTAGAGAATGGACCTTATATGGTGAACTTGCTTTTTGCGGAAACAACCTTCAAAGATCGAAGTACACAAACTTGGGAGAGTCTGGGAAGGCGAATTTTTGATATTTATATTCAGGTAATATTTCTATCAAAATAGTAAACAATTTTTTGAACCTAGTCTGTGGGGGTGTGTGGAAGCAATATTGATCATCTACTTAACTAAGGTTTGAGGGTTTTTGGTCTTTTTTTTTTCATTTATTCTTAAAAGTTTGTATTAGTTTAAAATATATATATATATATATATATATATACATATATATACATGGTAATCAATTTTCCGGATTGCATTTATGGATCATTTTATTCAAGGCCTTAATATATCAAATCTTTTTAAGGCGCCAAACCCCTTATTTACCTTTTAAATTTTTTTTTATCTATGGTTATCACCTTGAGTTTATTTTCTTCTCGTTTAATACTCTTTATAATTCAGAATCTTAAAAATAAAAAAAAAAACCCAAAAGTTTAACGGCAGATCATGTATCACGTTAATTTCCGTTGTTGTATTGCGTGGTACAAGCAAGACGACTGGGACATTACATGGCCATCTTTCTGATGTGGCAACCTTTTTTTTAATGATGTGGTTGCCACATGTGGCCCCATCACTGCCAAAAAAAAAAAAAAACATACCTTCGAGATCCGTACAGATTTACCCCTTTCGGGAGATCTAGATTTTGGCTTCTTCAAGAAACTTCCCTTTTCCCTTCTTCTTATCAACCCTACTTGAACTTCTTGGGATCCGGTAAAACGTCATCAACTCAAGATCGAAAATCTGGACGTGTCTGTAATTCATGTCACTCACAACATAAAAAAAAAGGGCCACATGATGTCCCAGTGGACTTGCTTGTGCCACGCAATACAGCAGCTAACGGAAATTAACATGTACATGATCGACACTTGATCTGCCATTACACTTTAGGGGTTTTTTTTTTATGGATTTTGAATTATGGAGGGTGTTGATAAAAAAAAAAGTTTAAGGAATTAATTGTGAAAAGAAAAAATGTCTAGGGGCAAATAAGAAGGTTTGGCCTTTCTGAAAATTACAAATTTGCAAACTTAAGTTTTACATTTTGTGATTTTAATCATAATCAACTGTTCCCAGGGAACCATCGTATTGAAGGATTTTGACATATCGAAAGAGGCAGGTGGGGTTAACAAAGCGATCACTAAGAATTTCAACGCTACCGTGACGGAGAACTATCTTGAAATTCACCTATTCTGGGCTGGTAAGGGAACATGCTGCATACCAGAACAAGGTTACTATGGATCATCTATTTCAGCAATCCATGTGGTATCAAGTAAGAAATGAGATGACAGAATAATCTTTGTTTGAAATATTACGTCATGTCTGTCTATTGCCGCTGCTAATGCCTAAACCCTGTTGATCAGCTTTCACACCAAATATAAGTGGGACTACCCCGCGTACAGCAAAAGAGAATAGGACTCGGTTGATTGTTGGCATTGCAGCTCTTGTCGGAGTTGTCACCTTCACCTCGATATTGATATTTGGACTTTTCTACGTGAGAAGGAGAAAAGATGATGATGACGAAGGTAAGATTCCTATAAAGTGCAATAGTAGTTAGTTAGTCATGATATTATTTGTAAAACTGATTCTTGCTAATACACTATGGTGGATCTGGCCTCATCGCTGCTGAGTGAAGTTCTAGGCTCCGCAAACCAAGTTCTAGGTTAAGCTCTTTCTTGTCTTTAGACATAGTTATTTTCTTCTTTATTACAAGGGTGGACATATAGGTTTTAAAAGAAAAGATATTGTTGTAGTACTTTTGGAAGGTTGGCCAGGAGGATTGATCTCCCATGATGGAGAGAGGAATTGAATTTTTTTTTTTTTCAACTTCTCTGACAATGTTGCTGCTCTGTGTTGTGGTGATGCATTCACATGGGACCAGTATTCCTTGTGCTCAGAAGAACAAATTTTATATACAGGAAGTAAACTTGAATATTGTGAGTTGTGATTTCTGGTTTTGTTCTCCCATGTATGATATATCTCGTGGCTTCTGGTAAAGACTCTGTTCTTATATTTATTTACTCAGCAGTTTTCTGATTAATTATATGAAAAGGACGAAAAAAGAAGAAGAAAAGAAATAGAAATTATACAATCGCCCATGGCCCCTGGCCTTTAAAGTTGAGATGCTGAATCCTTGGACCAGTGTTAGTAAAATTTCAACAATATATATAGGAGTTTTTTTAACCTGTACCTTTATTACAGTTTTTTACCATTAATTTGCATAAAAAATTATAAAAATAAACTTTATTTTCAACACCAATGCCATATGGAACAATTTAACTGGATAATTGATAAAATTAAAATCCACTTTTATTTCTTTTTTGTAAATTAATGATAAATAAGTGTGACAAATGCATTCTTAGGGCACATGTTAGAAATTCCTATATAATTATCTCCTACTTCATCACTAGATTTTATTCCAACTTCTCTTGAATTTGCAGAGCTTCTTGGAATAGCACCCAGACCAAACACCTTCAGTTATGCTGAGTTGAGAGCTGCAACTGATAACTTTAGTCCCTCAAATAAGTTAGGAGAAGGGGGATTTGGTCTGGTATACAAGGTAAGCCATTGGCTTAAAATCTTAAATCTGTTTTTAATGAGATAGAAGACTATATGACAATGTTACTCAAAAATGCGCTTTAAATGCATTATAGGGTAAACTTTCTGATGGGCGGGTAGCAGCTGTGAAGCAGCTTTCAGTAGCATCTCACCAAGGGAAGAGTCAATTTGTTACTGAGATTGCTACCATATCTGCAGTGCAACATCGCAACCTTGTTAAACTGTACGGATGCTGCATTGAAGGAAAGAGACACCTCCTTGTTTATGAGTATCTTGAGAACAAAAGCCTTGACCAAGCACTCTTTGGTATGACTGAACAAGTTATTTGCTCCATTTTAGCCTTTATGCAGGAGAATGAAACATATCTGCATCTGATTTCACTTTTCACCATCGCTCTCCATAACATTTCCTGCCTCACATATGCAGAAAATAAAGCCTTGCATCTTGATTGGCCAACCCGGTTCAGTATCTGCCTGGCAACGGCTCGGGGACTAGCTTATCTTCATGAGGAATCATGGCCAAGGATCGTACACAGAGATGTGAAGGCAAGTAACATTTTGCTTGATGCTGAGCTGTGTCCGAAAATATCTGACTTTGGATTGGCAAAACTATATGATGACAAGAAAACTCACATCAGCACCCGTGTTGCAGGAACCATGTAAGCTCCTTGAATCACCATATCAAACGAGTATCCAAGTGCTTATTTGCATCATATTGTAGCTCATATATGTTATTAGGTTTCATGGCATCAAACCATCAATGGAATCCAGAGACTTAGTATCACAGATAGAGAAATCATCGCAATAAACCTTCAACATACAAATTTCATTGCTTAATTGCAATATTGGCAGTGGCTATTTGGCACCAGAGTATGCAATGCGGGGGCACCTCACTGAGAAGGCAGATGTTTTTGGCTTTGGTGTTGTTGCTTTGGAAATTGTCAGTGGAAGACCAAACTCTGACAACAGCCAGGGCAAAGACAAGATCTATCTTCTTGAATGGGTAAAGAAAGAAACTCTGTTCTTTTTTCCTTCTTTATAGATACATTCCTTGTGCATGAGATTTACTTATACAATGTTTTTAGGCATGGACTCTCTATGAAAGCAACCAAAGTCTAGGTCTGGTGGATCCAACCCTAGTGAAGTTTGATGAAAATGAAGCTTTAAGAATGATAAGAGTGGGACTCTTGTGTACGCAAGCATCACCAATGATGCGACCACCCATGTCAAGGGTCGTAGCTATGCTTGCTGGGGATATTGAAGTGAGCCCTGTTGCCTCAAAACCAAGTTATTTAACTGACTGGGATTTTATGGACGTAACAACCAGCTCCATGGCTGAAAACACACGGTCTACTGGATCTGAGCTGGAGCTATCTCCATTAAATATAACTGAATTCAGTGACATTATTGGGGAAGGAAGGTGAGAGCTGAGATGTTCTATCTTGCAAGCTCCATTTTGCTACTTTTCCTACTTATAGCTCTGCTACATATTTTCTAGCTCTGTATGTTGATCATTTCTCTCTGTGTGAACTGAACAAGATGATGAAATATTGGCATCCAATAAGGCTGCAGTGTGCTGTGTTTTTAACTTAGGATGTCATTCCTATCGTGTAGTAATAATA